GTTTCATGCAGGAGAAAGATTGGGTGCAAAAAGGAGCCAGTGCAGTACAGTAAATAGGTTTTGGAAAGAAAAATCTGTCGGCGTGATGTTTTGCAGCGCATGAGGTTTAAATGGGGCATTTTGTTGAATAATAATCTAAATCTGTTCAACTTCTTTTTCTCTCTGCTGGCATAAAAGAATAGCTAAGCCCTCACTGAAGTGGATAAATAGTATAATAGAGAGAGTGTGTGTGTGTGTGCTGTTGTCTGGTATGTCAGCAGACCGTGGGGCAGGACATGGCAGGAAGAGATTTTATTTATAATGAGGTTTATCAGTAAGATAAGCTCCTGTGGTTTGAACAGTGTGTACGTGTGGGTCAGTGTATTGTGTGTTCACTGTCTCTACTTCCTTCTCTTCAGTGTCCCTTTGTCGTCTGGTATTAATAATAACGACGGCGTGATGCCTCAGACAGGTGCAAACCATGAAAATATTGCACAAGGCCTTAATCTGAATGAGGAAGATGCCGGTATGTTTGATTGATGGTCGTATTAAAAATATCTTATTGGGCCTTCAGTACAGCCTCTTAATTGTATGGATTGCCTTTTCACCTTCATGTAATAGACTCTTGAGGGAGCAACACTGTGATTTCTATCAGCGCTATGGCCACTGCGTTCTTCTGTTTTCAGCTTGTTTTACCCTTGTCCCCCCTGTCCTCCCCCTTCTTTACATCTTATCTCTGTTATTCTTGTGGAGACCTCTCACAACCTCAGCTGATAAAAGAGAAATGCCAGCGATGTCTCCCTTTAATCACAAAGGTGCCAGCGGGTCCCGGAGTGCTTAAGTGCTTTAGAAAGGTTGCTAGCAACTTTACAGCTCTTTGGGTCCACTGGCTGGTGATGAAAGGCAGATCACAGCCTGCTAAATTACTGTTAGCAGCACTATTTCTTACTGCTGCAAATGGTTAAGGGCAGTCTATTTCTGTCCATTGCTTCCCTTGGAGATGGGGTCCCGGAGGAGCAATAAAAACACACAGGGTTTGTGCTTGGGCCAAGCTCACTGGTCTCTGTGTGTGTTAGAGAACACAGTCATGCATTGACATTCTGTCTCATAACAATGATATTTTTCCCCACGGCGTACCCTGAAGGGGTTTTGCTATAAGGCACAGTTTCAGGATTGTATTAGCATATTGTTAGCATTAATGGCAGGCTGAATGAGAGCGTTTTTTAGGATGAAGATTGTGGTGGCGACAGAAAAAAGGCCAGAAGTTGGATCACAGCGAGTCAGCTGGGAGAGAAAGCCGGGGCAATGAGAGAATACAGATTTTGCCATTTTAAAGTAATTTTGTGGTATCTGTCCTTTAATATTGTTACACGTACGAGTAGCTCATTAAGGAAGAGCTCGGTCAGGGAAAATTCTGCAGCACAGCATGGCAGGCCAGCAGAGGAGCTACTGTACAAGACGTGACCAGTTAATCAAGCCAGTTAATGGCGCATGCCTTTTTATTTCACCTCTGTAGTAGAAAGAAGCTGCATCACGAAGACAGCTTGGATGGTTCATGGCGCTGTCTGAGTCAGGGGATAATTTTCCCACACTGAAGATTTACACATTCATAGCCCTGTAAAGTGCAATGGAGCAAAGCATCTGCAAATGTTAGGCATACTAATAAAGAAGACCAGAACAAGAAGTACTGTCTCTGCTTTTTAGATCTTAAAAATAGCAGATCTGCTTCTGTTCACTCAGTGTGAATCCAGGCTTTAAACAGTTGTAAAGCATCCACCCAAGAGAGTACACCACTGTACAGTCAGCGACATAAAAGGAGAAGTTGCAGTGAGTGGTGGGATGATTGCTGTTATCAAATCCATCCTGTCACAGTTGATGATTGATGGTGATGTAAGACCAGCCTCTCTGCGAGGAGGCTGTCTCAGAGTTGTTAATAAAGACAAATCCTCCATGGGCTGCAGCCAACCAGCCCACCACTTTGCCTGATGGAGCAATACGGTGAACCGGGAACCGGGAACCGTGGACCCGGGATTGATGCAGATCATTGAACACATAACTGCAAACCACAATAAAGTCTCTCTTTTTGCAGCCCTCTCACACTGTTACGCTGTCAGGGTGTGACACGCTTTCAGGAGATGGAGGGAACAAAGGGAGGAAACAGAAGAACAATGAGGGGATGAATGATGGAATCAGGGCACTGTGGAGTTGGCGGGAAAATAGGAGTGGAAAGTAGTGGATATGCTGGTTCTGGAAGTTATGGTTGAAATCAGAATTATTTACAGGATTGATGTGCGCCCCAGTATATTTGGAATATATGCAAAAGTAGATTTTCAATAACACAGTGAAGGTTGAAAGCCATTTACTGATGTTCTGTTGCCTAGTGTGAAACAAAATGTTCAAACTGTACCTAGCTCCTCTCATGACGACACAGACACGTCGTTCTTTGAAACGGGAGGAGTCACATTCCATTACATATCCTTACACGTACTGAGACTCCATTACACCATTATGCTGTGAGAACCAAGTTGTGAACATCAGTACGAATGAACAGTTAGCGTACAGGACAAACAAGTGCTTAGCACAAGCATGAAAACAAAGACCTCCATATGTAAAACAAATACCTCATTGGCCTCTTGTCATGAAAAGAGGTTAAGTCCTTGAAAAGTACATTTGACTGCTTGCTTTGGCTTCAAAAGGTAAAGTTTACGCCCTTTGAGTACAATATAGCAGAGCCGCGATAGAGACACGTTTTCCTGCAATCCATAGGAGAAAATGGAGAAACCGAACTTCTGCCTGGTTTTCAAAATTTGCTATAATCTCGTGAGACACATTGTTTACACCTTTTCGTCGTTTACTTACAAATTATGGCAATAATTCACTGTCCATCAACCACATGGACATTTAAACTTTCAATTAAATTTATAATTATTGCATTTACATAAATCATAAGTATGGCATTTTTATGTAAGATTGCTTACACTGTATGTGTAGA